TGTAATCCCCGCTACTCAGGAGGCAGAGGCAGGAGAATTGCTTGAACCCAGGAGGCAGAGGTTGCAGTGAGCCCAGTCGAAACCCTGCCTCTTAATTAAAACAACAACAACAACAACAACAAACTAGGCTGGGCTCGGTGGCTTACGCCTGTAATCCTAGCACTTTGGGAGGCTAAGGTGGGTGGACTGCCTGAGCTCAGCAGTTTGAGACCAGTCTGGGGCAACATGGTGAAATCCCCATCTCTACTAAAATACCAAAGAAATTAGCTGGGTGTGGCAGTGTGTGCCTATAGTCCCAGCTACTCGGGAGGCTGAGGCAGGAGAATTGTTTGAATCCGGGAGGTGGAGGTTGTGATGAGCCGAGATCTCACCATTGCACTCCAGCCTGGGTGGCAGAGTGAGACGCTGTCTCTACAAAAAAAAAAAACAAACCTAAAAAAACCACTGGTGGAACATTAGGTTCACCCCATCTAAAGACGTTTGCATCTTCTTGTAGGTAAAGCCTTAGGGACGACGGTGATGGTGCCTGTTCCCTATGAGAAGATGCTGCGAGACCAGTCGGCTGTGGCAGTGCAGGGGCTTCCGGAAGGCGTTGCCTTTCAACACCCTGAGAATTACAACCTTGAAACCCTGAAATGGATTTTGGAGAACAAAGCAGGGATTTCATTCATCATAAATAGGTGACACGCTCTGCATCCCTACCCTCTCAGTTCATTTAAAGATGAAACTGATCACGTAATTTTAATTCACTCATGCATTCCGCCTGTTGCGATTCAGAGCTGACTGTTCAGATGTGTCATCCTTTTTTCATATGTCCATACTGGGTAACAGCGTTGCTTTTCTTGCAGACCCTTCCTCGGACCAGAGAGTCAGCTGGGTAAGTGACAGCTTCTCAGATTTGGTGGCTCTTCTGAGCTGCTGAACCACTTCTTCTTCATTAAAACTTGAATTCGGATGAGGGGAGGGAACTTAGAGGACGGGCCAATAGGTGCAGCAAGCCACTGTGGCACACATGAGCCTAGGTAACAAACCTGCACATTCTGTACATGTATCTCCCTCCTCCCCCTGCCCTTTTTTTTAAGAAGAAATAAATTTTAAAAAACAGAAAAAGAAAAAGAAAAAGAAAAATACATTTGTAGCTATCAAAAAAAAAAAAAAAAACTGGCTGGGCGCAGTGACTCACACCTGTAATCCCAGCCCTTTGGGAGGCAGAGGTGGGCAGATCACTTGAGATCAGGAGTTCAAGACCAGCCTGGTCAACATGGTAAAACCCCATCTCTACTAAAATTACCAAAGTTAGCCAGGCGTGGTGGCGGGTACCTGTTATCCCAGTTACTCAGGAGGCTGAGGCAGGAGAATAGCTTGAACCCGAGATGTGGAGTTTGCAGTGAGCTGAGATTGTGCCAGTGCACTCTAGCTTGGATGAGAAAATGAGACTGTCTGAAAAATAAATAAATAAATAAGAATAAAAGAGAATGTCTTGCTGAGACTGCCTAGGTGGAGTAGGGAGATGGCAGGGGTCGGGGGTGGCACAGTTCACAAGGCACCTGCTGGGTGTATGACATGCTCCAGTTCTTCTTAGCCAGGGACTAAACACAGTGTGAAGTCTGTTTCGGGAGCGATGGTGAGTTCCTGTCACCGTCTAACTCACATTAAAGGAGAAGTGAGGGGGCAGGGTGGCAGGTGGCCATGGACTGTTGTCCCAACTGACTTGTATCACCATCACAGAAAAACAATAATACAGTGGTCCCCCCTTATCCTTGGGGAATATGCTTCAAGACCCCCAGTGGATGCCCAGACCCATGGGTAGTACAGAACCCTACATATACTGTTTTTCCCTAACCATACATACCTATGAGAAAGTTTAATTTATAAATGAAACACAGGCTGGGCATGGTGGCTCATGCCTGTAATCCCAGCACTTTGGGAGGCCAAGGTGGGTGGGTTACCTGAGGTCAGGAGTTTGAGACCAGCCTGGCCAACATGGTGAAACCCTGTCTCTACTAAAAATACAAAAATTAGCCACTCGTGGTGGTGTGCGCCTGTAGTCCCAGCTACTCGGGAGGCTGAGGCGGGAGAATTGCTTAAACCTGGGAGGTGGAGGTTGCAGTGAGCCGACATCGTGCCACTGCACTCCAGCCCAGGCAACAGAGCAAGATCCATCTCAGTAAATCAATAAATCAAGCACAGTAGGAGATTAACAGCAATAACTAAAGATAAAATAGAACAATTATAACAATATGCCCTCATTACTAATCTTGCACTTTGGGGCCATTATGAAGTCAAATAAAGGTGACTTGAGCACAAGCACCCCAGCCTTCCCAGGACCATCAGTCTGATAACAGAGCCAGCTACTCAGTGACTAATGGGCAAGTAGTGTAGACAGCGTGGATCGCAGGACAAAGGGATGAGTCACGTCCAGGCAGGACGGCACCACACTTCATCACGCTGCTCAGAACAACGTGTAATTTCAAACTTCTGAATTGTTTATTTCTGGAATTTTCCGTTTACTCTTTGGAGACCTTGGTTGACCTTGGGGAACAAACTGAGAAAGCGAAACCACAGATCAAGGGGAAGCTCGTGTCATAGCAGCTGTAACTTAGTGCTTACAATGTACAGGCACTGTTGTAGTCATTTTGCATATATTCATGAATCCTCCCACAACCACCGTGTTCACAAGGAAGTGGAGGCCGAGGGAGGTTTAGTGAGTTGCTGGAGGCAGCCCAGCTGGTGAGCTGAGGCTCGGCCCCATGCCCATGCTCTGGCCCCAAAACACTCCTCTCGGGTATCCCATCTCACCCACAAAAGTGCCCCGGGAACACAGTGCGCGCTTTGAGTCGGTTTCGCTCGTTTCAATGACCTTTTCCCCGATTGGGCTTCGATCTGGGAGTTCCGTTTTCTTGGTGTGTTTGCTGTCAATTTCTGTGCTATTGGATGTTAGTCATTTTTCCAAGGTTGCTATAAAGGGCTGTGTATGTCTTTTTATTCCTCCACAGGGTGCCCCTGGGATGTAACAGATGCTGAGAGGATTCCATCGTATCACCAAAGATGAAAGGTAAAAGAATAAATCATAGCAACTAAAATCACCAACTATGCAACCAGTCGTTCAGTTTTTGGATGACACAGGGGGCCTCCTTAAGCATTTAGGTTGCAGTGTAAAGGGTTAATGTGCGCCGCTGCGGGTGGGCTCAATGACCTGTAATTCCCAGCACTTGGGAGGCCGAGGTGGGTTGGATCACTAGGTCAGGAGATCGAGACCTCCCTGGGCTAACATGGTGGAAACCCCGTCTCTTACTAAAAATACAAAAAACTAGCCCGGGGCGTGGGGGGGGTGGCGGGGCGTGAGTCCAGCTACGCGGCGCTGGAGGCAGCGGGAGGAAATCTGGCGGGCTGTGTAACCTGGAGGCCGGACGCTTGCAGTGAAGGCCGAGGATCCGCCCCACTCGCGCCTCGCAGTCGCGGTTGAACAGCGCGAGACTCCGGTCTCAAAAAAAAAAAAAAAAAAAAAAAAGGGTTAATGTGGTTCTTCTCTTTCCTTATTTTCTATCCTATTCTTTGTCCAGAAAGCCTTTGGAATTAGGAAGACTATTTTCAGTAGACACATTTAATTTTTGAACAACTTATTCAGAACGTAATGTTAAAGTGTGGAGGGCAGTGCTGCATTTGGTTGAGTGGGGAGGAGGGATTTGGTGCCACGGAGGTCCAGGGCATTTGAGCTGTGGTGTGTCCACGGGCTCTGCCTGGTCCCACCCTGCCCATCCTGGAAGGTTCCCTTTCTCCTGCAGGCTGCGGCCATTCAGTGTGAAAACTGAAACCATGGAAGATTCTTGTGGGGTACCATGAATGCTTTTAGGAATCAAGAATCGGCCAAGCGTGGGTAGCTCCACACCTGTAATCCCAGCACTTTGGAGGACCGAGGCAGCGGATCAGTTGAGGTCGAGGAAGTTCAAGACCAGGCCTGGCCAACATGGTGAAACCCTGTCTCTACTAAAAATACAAAAATAGCTGGGGCCCCATGGCTGTGTGTGCCTGTAATCCCAGCTACCCGGGAGGCTGAGGCAAGAGAATTGCTTGGACCCGGGAGGCTGAGGCTGCGGGGAGCTGAGTTGGCACCACTGCACTCCAGCCTGGGTGACAGAGCAAGACCCTGTCTCAAAAAAACAAACAAGGCTGGAATGGTGGATCATGCCTGTAATCCCAGCACTTTGGGAGGCTGAGGCGGGCAGATCGCCTGAGCTCAGGAGTTCAAGACCATCCTGGCCAACATGGTAAAACCCTGTCTCTACTAAAATACAAAAAATTAGCTGGGCATGGTCGTGTGCACCTGTAGTCCCAGCTACACGGGTGGCTGAGGCATGAGAATCGCTTGAGCCTGGGAGGTGGAGGTTGCGGTGAGCTGAGATGGTGCCACAGCACTCCAGCTTGGGCTACAGAGTGAGATTCTGTCTCAAAAACAAAAACAAGTATCTAGCAGGTTATCATTTGACACCTTTCTTTTGTTTTATCAAATAAATAAATAAATAAAGACCAGGGCACAAATAAACCTCAATGGAGCCTCATTTGCAGAAGAACCATTATTTTACTCAAATATCTAGAAAACGGAGTCTTGGCAGGGTGCGGGGGTTCATGACTGTAACTCCAACACTTTGGGAGGCCGAGACAGGTGAACTGGTTGAACACCAGAGTTCAAGACCAGCCTGAGCAACATGGTGAGACTTCATCTTTGCAAAAAATACAAAAAATGGTGGTGCATGCGTGTGATCCCAGCTACTCAGGAGGCTGAGGTGGGAGGATCGCATAAGCCCAGGAGGTCGAGGCTGCAGTGAGCTGTAATGGTGCCACTGCACTCCAGCCTGGGTGACAGAGAGAGACGTTGTCTCAAAAAAGAAAAAAAGGAAAAAAAAGAAAAGAGAGAGAGAACCTTCTAATTCAGTAAATACTGGGGACTAAGACGTTATTAAATACACATATTTGTGGACAAAATATTATTTTAATTATAGTTGAATTAGAACCTGAATTTGAAATGAGTAAAACATTTTGAATATAAAATTGAAATTATTACTTGACTCACAAATAGAGCAGTGTTTTCATTTTTGGACATACTTTACTGCTTTTTTGGACTTTTCTGTCATTTCTACATGTTTTACAATATAGGTACATTACTATGACAGTGTATGCTAGAAAAAAAATCCCTCTTCAGTGGATGAGAGTAGTTGACCCCATTCTTGCTTCTCCTCCCTCCTCAATGAAAGAAAACCGCCCCGGAACACAGTGGCTGCTTTGAGTCGGTTTCTCTCTCAATGACTTTTCCACGATGGCTTCGATCTGGGAGTTCCGTTT